CAAAATAGACTCGGCTTCTATAGGTCTTCAGCTGTATGCATTTTAATGAGCCAAAGTCTCAGATAAATAACTGTTCTGTTTCTCTTATAGTCTTTAAATTGAGACCAAGTAAATCGGAGGTAAAAAAACACAATAAACCCCTGCAGAGTCTAAATGGTCAGTGGCAGCTCGGTATGATCAATGAACACAGGCCACAGCAAATAAAAGCGTGAGCTGAGAGTAAGTTTGGAAAAACAATACTTAGGTGTAGTTACAGTATTAGGAACAAAGACTTTATGACTAAATACTGCTTATAATGCTGCCCCAGCAAATAAGGAAAATAGAATTGCCAAAAGTTATGGAGAACCTCCTACCTACCAGAGGGAAGGTGCAGCTCAGTTACAGCCTCTTCAAGCAGTCTTCAGCTGTCCCCTTACTTGTGTCAACCGGTCCAGGAAGTAAGGAGGTTAAATCTCACCCCAGAGAGTGAAGGTATGAAAAGGTCTTAAAACTTCTATTAAATATTAAATGTTTCTAAATATTAAATAATTAAATAATTCCAAATGTTAATTTTGGTCCTGGTGCTTTAAGAGAAGTAATGGACATTACAACTCACAGTGGTTCCTAACTGATATCTACCTACTGAAATAAATTCCTGAAAATAGCATGTGTGTATTAGCAACAGAGTGCACGTGTGCGTAAAAAACAACAAACTAGTTTATTGCTAGGGAGTAAGTCATGAGTTTTGAAAGTTTGGACTCATGGCTCTTAAAATTGTGTTACTAGTAAAGCTACTATTTACTGGGCAGTTCCTTGATCAAGCAACTTTTTCAAGTTTTGTATAGATTTCGCTAACAAGAAAGCAACCAATCCTTAAAGAGTTGGTGCTTCCTGCTTTTCCTGGACAGCAACGACGATGCTTAGTGGACTTTTCCCAGATCACCACACCATAGGCAGCTTTCTACAGCCTGTTGCTCACAATTTCCCATTTTTTCTGTTCATTTCTTGTTTTATTATATCCCAGTGAATTTCAATGGAGAAAATACTCTACTAGTTAAGTGCAGGCATGGGTTTGAGCAATAGGATATAACGTCCATAACTTTGTAATTGCTACATTATTATATATCTGGTGAGAAATGAGTCTTACAGACTTCCAGTAAGCCTTTCTATATCTATACTTTCTATATAAATCAGAGGGAACTGGTATACTTTGGGAAGAAATACTGTGGTTTCTTGAAACAGCAAATGTTTATTCAATCAGTTACCAGGGAGAATAAATCTTTTTGCAAGAAAGGTGCATTATGTTTTATACCATATAATATAGCTACCTTTCTGATTGAGTTCCTGTATGCTGTAGAGGGACTTTAAATACCTTTTTAGCTTTACTGGTGAAGGTAGGGATTATTTTCCTCCAGGTCACTCAATAAAGATTAGCCTCCTACACATTGTTCTGTGGTAAAGTTGTATGTGTCTGACTTTTTCACAACAGATGGCTGCATTTCAGTAGTTGTGTATAAGCTGTATAAGGAAGGATGAAATAAAACCTGCATTGTAATCCAACTTTTCCCAGTAGCTTGTTTTATTCATATCCTCAAGTTTGATGTCACGCAGGAGAACTTAAAAAAATGTAAATTTGTTTGTGGTTATTAGTGCTGGGACAGATATATTTGGAGGGGTTGTATATGGAATGTAAATCAATTATTTCATATTGCAACATAACAGATATTGTTTTATATTTTTTATCTTTCTGTTTTATGGGTAAAAGACCGCATGCAGTTCTGGGAAGGGAGCCTTAACTTTGCTTGTTAAGTTCTGAGTGAGTGATTTCTCATGCCAGTCTTTTTTCAGAGCTTTTCTCCTCCCCATCTTGCATGGATGTAACTGAGATATATTGAAAACTTTTTTGGCATTAAGTATAATAATAAATATGACATTATTTTATTACCACAAGTTAAGAATCTTTTTAGTGGTCTTTTAACTGTACCTCATCACTGGAGAGTTCCCTATTGATTTCTCCAATAAACGTTGATTAAAAACGTTACTCTAGCCTTACGATTTTGGCTTTAGCGCTTTACTAATTTTCTGTCTCTCCCTCGGGCTTTTGTCACCAAGGGTTCATTGATGAAACTCCTGAGGTCAAATAAGGAAGCTGTGCAAAGCCTCGAAGCTAAAGCTGAACGTGAGTAATGATCTAATATACTAAGTGTATCCTCTGAAAAATATCTAGGAAAAAAAAAACGCTTGAGCACAATCCCGAGCTTTGCTTCTCCTACCTGTAAAACGGGCTGTTTGCAGCCAGCGTGGCGGCAGCGGAGAGGGCGCGGGTGGGGGAGCGGGTTTCACACCCAGCAGGGCTCGCGGGAAACGGCAGCTCCTCCAGCTCCATCAGGTTGCCACTTCGCAAACCCGCTTCGCGGTGGTCATAACTGAGCAGAAATAAGATTATTTGGCTCATACTTATGAAGTGCTTTATACTACCAGAGAGGAAAGGACAAAATACTGTCTCAATAGTGATTTCGGGG